AAAAAAAAAAAAAGGCGTACCTGACCGTGATAGTGCGTTTGCTGGAGGACCATGGAAGTACGTTAAGCTTACATTGTAAGCCAGTCTACAAGACCTATAACCTAGAGCTCTGATACCAACTGAAATGCCTCTAATTTTCTAAACCTAATTAGTGACTTCACCCATGCATGCATAATTCATTAGGCCGAATCCCATCATAAATAACCCTGGAAAACACAAAAAAGTCTTTCATAAAGATTCATAAATCCAAAACAAACCTATCTCCAAAAATAAACCTTCAATAACTGAATTCAAAATAAATCTAAATAAAAGAATACTCGATGCTATAACTTAAAACAGTCCAATAAACATAAACTCCTAAAAATATCCCATCCCCAACTTCCATGGTGTCCTCAGCTCCATCGTCAATCGTACATTGGCGCCTTGCCTTTACCTGAAAAATGTAGGTAGCACGTGGCTTGAGTATTTTATGAAATACTCAGTAAGTCACCCCACTGTTGGGGTTAGAAATGCAAACACATGCAACATATGAGCGGGACCTAACTTTTCATAAACTTTACATAGCCTTGGGCGCTTTTCTATTCTGGGTAGGGTTGGGTGTGTGGTACTTCTTCACACACGGCCCATGTACGCGTACATGGACCCACTAGGCGGGTTCGTATACATCCCCCTCGGGCCTGACTTGGTCGGGCACAACGTGTTACATGTCGCCGGACACCATAGAACAGAAAAGGGCCCGCATGATATCATGGCGAACGTAAATATCGTAATTCATTCTTTCGTATCATAAAGGGGAAGAAATCCGATGCCGTGACATATATATACGCATGAGGTTCCTTCACATATCTAACATGACATTACAACTGTCTTGCCAATTTTTATCTAACATGAGGTTCTTTTCTATTGATGTCGTTTCCTTTTTTTCCTCATCTACTTTTATCTATGTGTGTTCTTTTTCTTTTAATTAGGTTTACAACTGTGTCTTGCCAATTTTTATCTATTCTTAATTACAAAAAAAGTCAAAGATATTAATAAATTCCATATCTCCCATTTTTTCCTTCTCTATATTTACTCTGTTTCTTCTTTTAATTCGCTCCCCAAATCTTCCCTTTTTTCCCTCTGTTACTTATTGCTCACATGTATTCTCAATTTTTTTAATTAGGTTTACAGTTCTTTTGCCATTAGATTCTAATTTTTCTTTTCTAAAAATATTATGAAGCAAATTTTTTTTATTTTGATTTTCAAAATATTTAAAATCTAAATAATTGCGAGAGATAAAAGAGCGGGAGATCTAACCTACCAATAACTTTCTATCTATTTGCAAAGGAGGAAAGAAAAAGAGATCTACTATGATTTTTTTTTTTTTTTTTATCTCTTTCCTCCTTCCTTTTCTGTTAAATCTATTTGGAGTCGAGGTCATTTTCCAATTTTTCTCTTCCCAACTTTTTTTTTTAGCTGATCATTCTACCGGAGGTGTTGAAGAGAGATATGGGAAAGGTGTTGAGGAGAGATATGGAAAAGGTGGGGGAGAGAGGGATCATTTATTTTTTAATTTTTAATTATTATTTTTTTATTTATTTTTAAAAAATTTCAATGGTTAAAAAAAAAAAAAAAAAAAAATCTTAAATACTTTTTCCTCAAATGTTGATCTTTTTCTATGAAGAATTGAATTCATTAAATTATATGGCAAACCATAATTGCCAATAGAGGTAAATTTTAAATTGATGAGTTAATAAAAGAAGTCCAAAAAGAAGTACGATGAGAATGTCTTATACATAATTTTACATTGGGTAAATTTTAATGAAACTGTCTCATCTCTAATATATAAATATTGGGTAATTGTGGCTTTATTTAATCCACTATTTACTATATGGGTGAATGGAAATGGGTCGAACAATTAGAGACATAACATTAGCATTTGTTTCCTTGTTGCCTATGCCATGTCCGTCTCCAAATTGAAACATGCATTGAGCTGTTCTAGCAAGATTTTGAGCTATCTTGATCAACACTTGAAGAAAAATAGAATTTTCGACCTCAACCATATTTAACTTCTTCCATGTCTCGTCGATCAAATGTTTTATATGTTCACGAGCATTATTCTCTGATGCTCCTGTGTCATTCATGTAACATTGTATTGATTTTGGAACATCACCTCTTTCTAATTCATCCTAAATGAAATATAAAACATAAAATCACGTTAGTTAATAGAAGTATTAAAATGTTAAATTAAATTATTTATATTTGAATTTCATTACTCAAAAGGTATGCTATATACTTGGCTTTTAGTTATATCAATAAAAAAAAATTGCTTCTAAAGAAGATAATAAGAATTATTATCACATACCGTTGATGTTGCTAAATCGTCAGCAAGTCGAACAATTGTAGAAGAACAACGAATTATATCAATATGTTCTTCTAAGCTTTCCATGTCTTTGAGCATTGGAGATGTTACAAAAACATATGCATGAACTAATACGACTGGTCCTCCTACTGAAATCCATGCATTGTCTAGATATTCTTCTAATGTTGGTTTATAACCGCTGTGAAAACACTTGGCCTCTAGCAAATAAGATTTGCACAAATCTATCCACTATCGAATTAAATTTGAAGTAAATTACGTAATAATTTAAAAGATAAAAAAGTTTATCATAATCAAATTCTTACCGTCTTCTTAAAGTACTGGATCACATTAATTTCTTTGTCTCTTAGAACATCAAAAGTCATCTCATTTATAGAATTGTGGAGACCGAGAAAACATATTTTCATATAGTCAGGAAGCTTGTCCATTGCATCAACATTCCACCTAAAATCATAATTGAGAAGAGAGTTAAATATTTATATACTTTCAAATTAAAATCCGTACAAATTATAACATTTGCAGCAATTGCAACAATTTTGAGGTTCATAGGCATTATATATTTTAATAATATTTATTTCATTATTTATGGATTAATGTTTATGAACTAAATCGTTGAAAGTTTAGAGAACAAAATTTTTTTTCTAATGTTTTCTTTAGGGCTCGAGTTCAACTTAAAACTAGTATAAAAAAGTTTATTGATTGCTAACCTCTCTACAGCTTTGGTAAACAGCTCGAGTTCATCTAATGTGCCATAGACATCATAAACGTCATCTATTGTTGTTATTAATGCAATAATTTTGGTTGACATTCTTCTAAAATATGAGAGTTCAGGTTCAAATCCAAAACCCACGGTCCAAAAGAAATTTTCCATCAATCTATCTCTTGCAAAGCTCAACTTTTCGCTAAATCCAGTGTTCCTCCACCACCTAATTACCATGTACAAGAATGTAGGTTAAGTTAGTAGAAGTATTAATGTAATTTACAACCATCTATCTATATAAAATATCTTTTTTCTTATTAAAAATAAAATAGTATCCTATTTTTTTTTAAGAAAAAGAAAACTTTTAAGTAAATTAGTGACTTAGAAACAAAGCTTTCCAAAGAAAAAAAAAACGGACCACAAACAATTATTTTTAATTCTCAAAATGTTTATAATAGTCATACCTTGATGCATATTTCAAATCTTCTTGGTGGACAGATTGAACTCGATTGAAATCTAATTTAGCAATTTCGAGAAGAATAGAGTTCATATTCACTTTTCTTTCGTAGATATCAATGAACCATCTTGCCTCTAATCTTGATATTCGCCAATGTAACGGAAGCTCCAACGCATGTCTAATAATGGATGCTTCATATTCATCTTGGCATGATCTCATGTACTTTTCCAAATAGTTGATCGTAAAATATTTTGCTGCCTCTAAAATGTTCTCACCTTCTATACATAAGAATGAAGCTTCATACAATGATAACATTCCATTTAAATCCTGATAGAGCCCTGTGTTAAAGTTTTTCGTCTCATCCATGAAGTTATTGAAAACCTCTGTCATTAAAATTAAAAATGGTTGAATTAATAAATATAGATGGTCTAATGTTAACATTTCACATGTTGTTTGATTATTATACATTAAAAAAAAGTTGAGATTGGTAAATTTTGTTCCATCCGAGCAAAACTTACCAAGTATAATCACATATGCGTCACAAGTATAATCCATCCGAAAACTTACTTCGTTTTCGAGAGAAGCTATTTAAGATAGTGAATACCTTGCGAAACGTTGAATCCATGTTGTCTTAAAAGTCTAAATTCAAGTGATGTTGCATATAGATTATTCTTTTTCCAATCATCACTTTCATAGCTCTTCTCGTATGTTCTTTTCAACAAATCCTTGATCTCATTCTCAAAAAGATATGAGATTCCAAGTCGTTGTAAAGTATCAATCAGCTCGAGATTCTTTAGAGGATCGTCTATTATTTGGTTTATCATCACATCTACCTCTTCCTTTAGCTCATTGAAGCGTTCTACATATATTTCTCCCTGAACACAGCATACACATCCACAAGTAATTGATAACTCTTTTTAACAGTAAATGGAAACAAACAAAGTAAACAACAAATTTAAACATTTATATCATTCATACCTTAAATTCACTATTTAATGATTGAATGTACTCATGTTTCCAAACAGGAGGTTTGTAATTTCCAGACCTTCGTACAATGATTTGATTTGATACTCTTGCAACGCTGTTTGCTTTAACGGCAGGACAGAGAAATGAAGAATTTTGATCAAAATGGACTCGTTTGAGGGAAGGATTCATCATAAAAGGAGTGAGAAACTTGTAAAGAGCCATTGAGAGAGTAGAAGGAAGAATTTGTTGGTTTAATGACTAATTGGTAAGAGAGGTAACTAATATATATAGATAATCCAAACGAGGTTTTATTCTACTATATATTGTTTTTAGTATAACAATTGTCAAATGGGACATTGAACCTTACTTTTATCATTAAGATATTTCCAGTTACTTTATCTAATTAAATTGCTATTACAATTACATAAATTATTTGTTTTCTCCTTTTAATTTATTGTCAAAAGAGTTGAATTTAATTTTCATAAATGTTAATTAGTACGTACGGGGGCTGAATTTGTTGTTGGAATAGTCATTCTGCGTTTATTTGAGGAGTGTTTCAAAATTTTAAATTTTGCCAATTTTGTAAAATGTTTGAAAAATTGGCTGCCGACCAAATACATCACATTTCAAGCCAACCCATTTCTTGTCCACCATACCTAGGTTATCCTCTCCTCCTGCAAAAATGTGCTTCTAGAAGAGTGAGTGTTATTTTATCGAGTTAAATCATTTCAAAACGATGTCATGGACTTATATGTTTATAACAAAGTCGTTAAAACAATTATGAAGGAAAAACAAGCCATGTTAAACTTAGATAATAAAGAGATATTGAAACAACACCCTGGTCTAACTTGAGGGCTACTAATAACATGAACGCTTCAACCCTAACTTTAGTCCCATGATCATCATTGCAACATAATTGTCATCCATCTAGAGGTGTCTTGCTTTTACCTAGAAAAAGTAAGAGTAGCACGTGGCTTAAGTATTTTAAGAAATACTTGGTAAGTGACCCTACTATTGGGGTAAGGAAATACAATTACATGCATTCGTGTTTGGGACCTATCATGAAATATCATTTCAGCACTCGATCTTTTTAGAAGACTTGTGGATAATCATGTTTAGAAGCTGTAGGAACAAGTTTGAAGAGAAATAATTTACAATTGATCTCGAATTTGGAAGAAATATGAGAGTAGGAGAACCAAACACTAAATGCTTATTACTTGCCATATGAGCTCGACTCAACTCAATTCTTAATCCATATGAATGCTCCAACTTCAGACTTCATAGGGGAAACTTAAACCAACGTTGAAACCTCTAGAATCGTCGTGATTTTAAAAAGAGTTTTTTGGATTATGCGTCGGAAATATCATCTCCGATCAGTGGCTACTAACTTCCATTTTGAATTCTAGTCGTTGGATGTGGTGAGCTGTATGTTCTCTATAACATACTTAAATTTGGTGAATACGTTGTTGAATACGTGCGTAGGTGTTTAACTTGTCAACAAGTTAAGGCACCTAGACAGAAACCTCCTGGATTAATTTAGACCACTCATTTTATACCAGGGAAGTCTACGTATTCATGTAGCTCCATGGGTTGGTTTCTCCACCACACCTTGACAAAAGCAATGTTCCTGGTGTGTAGAGTCCTTACCTTACGAGCCAAAATTTCCAACGGTTTTTCCTCATAGCTTAAGTCCATCTTCCAGAGGCTCATACTCTATCACATGCGTGGGATTGGCCATATACTTACGAAGTACTGATACATGAAACATGTTGTGTACCATCGAGAGCGATGGTGGTAGGGCTAACCTATATGCGACGGGTCCAATCCGCTCCAAAATCTCAAAAGGTCCTATAAAGTGTGAGCTCAATTTACGCTTGTGTCCAAACCTTAGAACACTTTTTATTGGTGCCACTTTCAGGAATACCTTGTCGCCCACTTCAAACTCTAGATTCCTTCGTCTTAAGTCCGCATAGCTTTTCTGTCTACTCTGAGCAGTACGCATCCTTTCCCTGATCTTTTGTACTGCCTGGTTCGTGACTTGTACTAATTCGGGACCCACCAACTCATGTTCCCCTACCTCATCCCAGCATAATAGTGTCCTACACCGTGTTTCATATAATGCTTCGTATGGTGTCATGCCAATTGTCGTCTGATAACTATTATTGTAGGTAAATTCCATGAGATGCAACTTGTGATTGTCGTCTCAAAATCTGCTTGTACCCTGGGTTCACTTATGATTAATGCTGATGAATGAGCGGTCTTCCTACTTAGGGCATCTGCAACCACATTGGCCCTCTCGGGGTGATATTGAATGTCAATGTCATAATCTTTGACCAGCTCTAACCACCTCCCCTGTCTCATATTCAGCTCCTTCTAAGTAAAGAAATACTTCAAACTTTTATGGTCAGTGTAAATTAGAGTCTTCTCTCTATAAAGGTAGTGTCGCCATACCTTTAATTCGAAAACCACCGCTGCTAGTTCTAGATCATGTGTGGGGTAATTCTTTTCATAGTCCTTCAGCTATCTAGATGCATAAGCAATAACCTTCCCTTGTTGCATCAACACACATCCCAAACCCTTCTTAGAAGCATCACTGTAAATAATATAGTTTCCTGTACCGTTGGGCATTGTAAGCACTGGCGTGGTCACCAGCTTATCCTTCAGCTCTTGGAAACTTGTTTTGCACTCCTCAGACCATACAAATGGTGCAGTCTTTCGGGTTAATTGCATAAGAGGTGCAGCTATCTTGGAAAAATCCTTTATGAAGCGTCGGTAATAACTTGCTAAGCCTAGAAAACTTCGTACCTGAATAACAATGATAGGACGATTCCATTTAGTGACAGCTTCCACCTTGGCAGGATCTACTGACACACCCTTCTCAGATATCACGTGCCCTAGGAAAGCGACTTCTCGTAACCAGAATTCACACTTCGAGAACTTGACATATAGTTTGTTTTCTCCTAGTATTGTCAGAGCCCTTCTTAGATGTAACTGATGTTCGTGATCCGTCTTTGAGTATACCAAGATATCGTCTATGAACACTATGACAAAAGTATCCAAACATTCCTTGAACACGCGATTCATCAGTTCCATAAACACTGCAGGGGCATTAGTAAGTCCAAATGACATAACCACAAACTCATAATGACCATACCTCGTCCTGAAAGCTGTCTTTGGTATGTCCTCATTTTTAGTCTTGATCTGATGGTAACCAGATCGAAGATGGATCTTCGAAAACACTGTTGCCTCCCTTAGCTGATCAAATAAGTCCTCGATACGTAGAAGGGGATACTTGTTCTTCACCGTTCTCTTATTTAGCTCTCTGTAATCAATACACAAGCGCATTGATCAATCTTTTTTCTTGAAAAATAGCACTAGCGCACCGCAAGGAGAAACGCTAGGTCTAATAAATCCATTATCCAACAACTCTTGTAGTTGCGTCTTAAGTTCTTTCAGCTCAGCTGGTGCCATATGATACAGGGCTTTAGATATTGGACTGGTACCTGGTTCCAGCTCTATTGCAAAATCCACCTCTCGTGTTGAAGGAATTCTCGGCAAGTCCTCTAGGAATACGTCTGGAAACTCATTCACCACTGGCAAGGTGTCTGGGAAACCTCCTCTTTCCTAGTATCCACAATGCTGGCTAGTATAGCACATGCTTCGTGCTATACCAACTTCTTTGCTTTCATCACTGATATAACCTTTGGAACAGTACTCAGACTCGTGCGCTTAAATTTGAATCTAGTCTTGGACGGTGGTGTGAACACCACTTCTTTCTTGTGACAATCTATGCTAGCATGATTTTTCGCTAACTAATCTATTCCCAAAATTACATTATACACATACATATCAAGTACCATCAAATCTACTTCTCTTTTAACTCCTTCTTTTACTCAATAAACAGCAATCATATTCACCCGTGCCAGGTTGCCTACAGAAAATCCATGCAATAAAGGCTCTAATACAAACTTTGCTTGACTAACAAAAACAGTAGAAATAAAGGAATGCGTAGATCCTNTTTGTAAAATGTTTGAAAAATTGGCTGCCGACCAAATACATCACATTTCAAGCCAACCCATTTCTTGTCCACCATACCTAGGTTATCCTCTCCTCCTGCAAAAATGTGCTTCTAGAAGAGTGAGTGTTATTTTATCGAGTTAAATCATTTCAAAACGATGTCATGGACTTATATGTTTATAACAAAGTCGTTAAAACAATTATGAAGGAAAAACAAGCCATGTTAAACTTAGATAATAAAGAGATATTGAAACAACACCCTGGTCTAACTTGAGGGCTACTAATAACATGAACGCTTCAACCCTAACTTTAGTCCCATGATCATCATTGCAACATAATTGTCATCCATCTAGAGGTGTCTTGCTTTTACCTAGAAAAAGTAAGAGTAGCACGTGGCTTAAGTATTTTAAGAAATACTTGGTAAGTGACCCTACTATTGGGGTAAGGAAATACAATTACATGCATTCGTGTTTGGGACCTATCATGAAATATCATTTCAGCACTCGATCTTTTTAGAAGACTTGTGGATAATCATGTTTAGAAGCTGTAGGAACAAGTTTGAAGAGAAATAATTTACAATTGATCTCGAATTTGGAAGAAATATGAGAGTAGGAGAACCAAACACTAAATGCTTATTACTTGCCATATGAGCTCGACTCAACTCAATTCTTAATCCATATGAATGCTCCAACTTCAGACTTCATAGGGGAAACTTAAACCAACGTTGAAACCTCTAGAATCGTCGTGATTTTAAAAAGAGTTTTTTGGATTATGCGTCGGAAATATCATCTCCGATCAGTGGCTACTAACTTCCATTTTGAATTCTAGTCGTTGGATGTGGTGAGCTGTATGTTCTCTATAACATACTTAAATTTGGTGAATACGTTGTTGAATACGTGCGTAGGTGTTTAACTTGTCAACAAGTTAAGGCACCTAGACAGAAACCTCCTGGATTAATTTAGACCACTCATTTTATACCAGGGAAGTCTACGTATTCATGTAGCTCCATGGGTTGGTTTCTCCACCACACCTTGACAAAAGCAATGTTCCTGGTGTGTAGAGTCCTTACCTTACGAGCCAAAATTTCCAACGGTTTTTCCTCATAGCTTAAGTCCATCTTCCAGAGGCTCATACTCTATCACATGCGTGGGATTGGCCATATACTTACGAAGTACTGATACATGAAACATGTTGTGTACCATCGAGAGCGATGGTGGTAGGGCTAACCTA